AGCCCTTCGCCAGTCCTCCATGCAACTTGCGCTATCTAGATCTTTCTTTCTCCAGATGTGCTGATAACTTCGTAACCTAGTTAAATCGAATGAAAATGGATAGATCTGCATATTGTAAAATAGCGAAAATTTTTATTGATAATTTATGCAGCCGTATGATGATCTGTCTCAGTGATTATTCTTCAACTGGAGTTGTTCAATAATCAAAATATTTCGCAAATATATAGGAACTTTTAGCCGAAAATAAATAAAATTCACTAAATATTTTCGGTATAGGGACTATGAAACGACTTCATCATACTTTTTCTACTGTTTACTAATTATCTTAATGTTGCAGTGTCCTTCGTGATCTCCAGGATGTCCGCCCTGTAATATTTTGGAAGAACTGTCTTTAATTCTCAAGTGCAAATTTTCTCATTGTTATTATTCAAACTAAGGATGTATTCGAACCTAGATTTAAATATTTTTATAACCGTAAATTGGTCACAAAGACAAAAAATGTAAGTTCATATGACTTGCTATGAAAGAGATGACAAGCCTAAATTTAAAAATGTAGAAGCAATCACTTTGATAAAGTATTCATCTAAAATACAACAACTTTCTAGTAGATTTTATCTGCTTTAGATTAGACTAAGTTGGTAGGACCAACCGCTTGTTGCTCTAAATTATTAGAAGGGCAACTTAAGCCTATTTTCGGCCCTTTGGTTAACTAGCTCTAAAGAGAAAATAGGGAAGTCTATATATACACTTGATAAAAATAGGCTTAGCTTAGACTTTTAAATCTATATTTTGCTCATCTTATCTCATCTGACATTAAATAAATAGTAATGCCAGATGGGCATTTTTTTCTTTTCCAAATTAGCATTTAACGCACCTTAATCGAACTTAAACGTCTTGATGATCGAATGATATTTTCCAGATGAAGTAAGAAAGGTACAACATGTAGCTATCTAAAATTTTCCTATGAAATAAACTAGTTACGACCAAACCCTAACAAAGGATCACATTTTAGTATTATTTTCTTCTTCGCAGAATTATATAAAGGAATCATACAGTTTAAGCATCGAACAGTAACTGCAACCTATATTAAATAAGCAGCCCTATTATCACATCTTTTCACAATTGTGACCCACACAATATATTAAAATTGCCGTTCATCTATTCTAATGAATATGATTGAAGCTTTATCAACTCCTGCAGGGTTACCACTTAGAACTTTTATCGGAGCTATGGCCCAAGGACGATTTGCTTTATTTTAGTTTTATAGAGTTTTAAATCTACAGAGGAGTGCAAATGTTATAGAAATACTTCATTTAATGCTCAATAAAGTATTTATTTTTTCCTCAGGTCCTTAATGACTACACTGCATCTAATTAAAACAGTTTATTTTTCAAAGTATCTTTTCACCATAATTAGTTAAACTTGATCTTGGAAAATTTTACATACAGAATATGACGAAAATTTAAATAAAATGTATATTAATGGTTATTAGTTTTCTAGATTTATATATAATTTTTTATTTCTTTACACTGGTTCTATTTGGTTCACCATATTCTTCTTAACAAATAAATTTGAGGTCTCGCTCAATAAATTTCAAACTTAACTTTTTATTTGTATTTATCACATTTTAAACATTCTGATTACGATTTTATGTTATATCTTGTTCTTAGGGCTGATTTGTTGATTCGCCTGTTACCAAAGTTTTTAGTTGGCATTTGTTCCTTTGCCGGTATAACTGGGTCTGCCCTTAACGCTTTCAAAATTTGTCTGTCTTGTAACAGAATTGAGTATATCGTGAGGCTACAACTTCATGTCAGGTCAATATGCACAATTGCCTTATATAACTCAATATAAGGCGATAAAAAATGTCGGGGTTTTATTTTAAACCAAATACATAAACCATCTTTTTTATCTATTCTATAGCTACACTATACGAGGTTCGAATCGTGGCTAGCAATGGAGCCGGCATGTCCTCAACTAGCCCGATCCTTTTGGTATCCACCACGGGTCCCATTAAGCCCGGTGGCCTGGCTGGCGCTAGTGGAACCTGGTTTATTATCATCTTCATCCTCTTTGTGCTGTTGCTCGTCCTTTTGGCCTTATTTGTCTACACCAGGGAGCAACGACTTCAAACAGGCAAGCCTAGCTAAGACTAATTTTGTGATATTGCTGACATCAATTAATGTTGTTGGACAATGCATAGATGCACTAGTTTTGCGCCTGCAAGAAGAATTATTGTCTATTTCTATGCATTTTCAAGTAGCAAGAAGAAAAGTTGAATGTGAATTCTTTCCTAATGCAGGCCATTTGGCAAAGCCAGCTCACGTATGGCTTATCTTGATGAAATAAAAGACAAAATACAAACTCATTTAAGGCTCGACAATTCAGAAGGTGAGAGTGAAATTTATAGGGGGTAAGCTTTAAAAAAGGACAAAAAAGATGGACATTTGGATATTTTATTAATAAATTGATTATTTTTCTAGGCATACAGAATAGTGTGACGTATGAAAGTAGCCGCGGGCGCAAATATACGTGTTTTACCCAGGTCGACTCTGGTCAAATCGAGTATTTATACAGACAGGAACAACTTTTATAAGGTAGGACTGAATCACCAATAACGTAGAAGGTATAAAAAGAAAAAAAGAGGAATAGGCGAGTGATAGATTCAAGTGAATTGATCACTTTTTTATCTAGTACAGGTGGTTCTTAAAGCGAGGTAATAGGACTAGCTAATTATGGAAAAATTACGTTATGCTATGCCTGGCATGTAAATAGTTTAGAATTTTTTTACTGTGGACTAAGTCAATAGGCAGATAAGGAATCGTCTTCAAGTTGGGCTAAAAATCATATAAATTTATGGCCATAGTTGCGAAAGATTCACCATGACACTTTACATCCATGCTAGGCATGCTTTATATTTAGGACCCATAGACTGTTTTTATTGCTTTACCAGTTTGGACAGTATCTTCCTTGCTGAAATATCCTTTAAAAGAACATCAGCTTAACTTGATACAGAAGATGGAAAGTATATTGCATATATTGCTTGTCCGTAAGCATATACTTGCTAAACCTTCCATCATTTTTGAAGACAATACTTTTGTCTATTACAGCAATATTTTCCAGTTGCTTGGTGTTTTTATTTAGGCAACATCAGTAGTAATAAGAATAGGTCTGATGTAAGTGGTTTCGAAAACTTATTCTCGAATGAGAACTAAAGGAAGTATCTTAAAAAGGCAAAATTTTTATCACGTAATCTTGTGTGGACAGGCCATCCGAGTTGGGAAAATCTGCGAAACTTCTTGTATGCTAAGTTACCGCCAGTCTATATCAGCTCCGATTACGCGTCACAGATAAACATACACTGGAAGTTATTCTTTCTTAAAAGTAATACTGATTGCCACACTTCTGGCTTCCTTTCAGGGTTTTCCTTTTTTTCCTCCCTTATCCTTTTCCTCTCGAGCTCCTTAATATTGACAGTTGTAGACACTTCTTACTTTTTGCTGAGGAATATAAAAGCTGTACTAAGTTAAGAATTGCTCAGAATTATTTATACATCCATTTGTGGAGGTTGCACTTATTTAGCCTTCTAAATTTTTTAAACGCAAACTGTCACTTACAAGGATTTTTTAACATCTAGTCATTTTGGTTGGCCGACATAAAATCCCCCACCTTTTCCTTTATTTTATCAAGCGCTATCTAAAATGACCTTTATAAACTAAGCTAGGCTTGATGCCTGAAGCGTCGAAGACTTCCCGCAAATCTGTACAAGGGTGAAGTCACGTCATTAATATCTTGTGAGCTTCTTAGCCCTACCATTTTACTACTCGAGATAGCCAGAATATAGGGTTATTTTAAAGATAATTTTCATTTTAACTTGCCACCATATTT